ACTCCAGACCTGCCCAATCACCAGTTTCCAGAGAGCCTATCCATTCTGCCCTCTCACTGCTCTTCAGCCCCCTGGGAACCCGTCCCAGGCCTAGTTCTGGTCCTATCCACTCAACTCCTCCTGGCCCCTTCCCTGTCTCCAACAGACCAGACCCCCTTTCGCGTCAGAGAAAAGCCCGCCCCGCCCCCGCCCCGTGCTCCCCATGCTCCTCCCACCAAATCTCTGCCCAGCCCACCCTTAATGTCCTGAAAGACTATCCCCGCCTCTCAGGCCCCCTGGACATTCATTCCTTGCTCGGGATACTGGGCCCCATCAGAACTCTCCCACGGTAGATTTTCTTTCCGTCCCCTCAGCTGTGCTCAGCTTGGATATCCCCCTTCACACCCCAGTCTCATCGTGGTGACCTATAGCTTCTAATAGTCCTCTCCTGGTTCCTCCACGCCCTCACTGTGCCCCCCTCCCAACGCTTTACCTCCTTTTCCATTCCCAGAGTCCTAGACTAATCTCCCACCTTCCCGCCAGCCCCTGAACCCAACAGTCTGATACTAGAGACCTAGACCTAACCCTTATGGAGACCCAAATCGCCCACCTTCCCTCTCCCTTCATGCTCCCACCCTGAAGAAGTACCCAGCTCTATCCATCCCCGCCCCCCATCATCACTCGTGAAGACCACCCACTAAGACCCTCCCACACCCTGCCTGATTTATAGACCCTTCCCTCACAGCTCCTCAGAACCCAGCTCCTGACCCAGAACCCTCCCCTCTACCCACCCCCAACCCAGACCCACCCCTAACCCAGCCCACCCCATCCCCACCCTGTCTCCACAGCCCTCTCCACCTCTGCCTCACTCGTGTCCCTGGCCTGGACTCTGGCCTCCTACCAGAAGGTGCTGCGGGACTCCCGAGATGACAAGCGGCCACTGTCCTACAAAGGTGCCGTGGCCCAGGTGCTCTGGCACCTGTTCACCATCGCGGCCCGCAGCCTGGCCTTTGCGCTCTTTGCCAGCGTCTACAAGCTCTACTTCGGCATCTTCATCGTGGCCCACTGGTGCATCATGACCTTCTGGGTCATCCAAGGCGAGACGGACTTCTGCATGTCCAAGTGGGAAGAGATCATCTACAACATGGTGGTGGGCATCATCTACATCTTCTGCTGGTTCAACGTCAAGGAGGGCCGCAGTCGCCGCCGCATGACCCTCTACTACTGCATCATCCTGTTGGAGAACGCAGCGCTCACTGGCTTCTGGTACTCAAGCCGCAACTTCTCCACTGACTTCCACTCGCTCATCCTGGTCTGCGTGGTGGCCTCCAGCTTTGCGCTGGGCATATTCTTCATGTGTGTCTACTACTGCCTCCTGCACCCCAATGGGCCCATGCTGGGGCCCCAGGCACCTGGCTGCATCTGCCCGGAGGCCCCAGAGCCCTGTGGCCCGCCAGCCGATGCTGTCACAAGTCCCCCGAGGTCCCTGCCGAGGACTACAGGCGCTGAGCGAGATGGGGTCTCAGTGGGGGGTGAGCGTGCAGGGACCCCCACACCACCTGTCTTCCAGGTGCGGCCTGGCTTGCCTCCCACACCAGTGGCCCGCACCTCGCGGACAGAGGGGCCTGTCATTCGGATTGACCTGCCTCGTAAGAAGTACCCCGCATGGGATGCTCATTTTATTGACCGCCGGCTCCGGAAGACCATTCTGGCGCTGGAGTACTCCTCACCCGTCACGCCCCGGTTGCAGTACCGGAGCACGAGGACCTCCCAGGAGCTGCTGGAGTATGAGACCACAGTGTAGGCCACAGTTTCTCCCCCCAAAAGGGGATGGACTTGGCTGACCTCACATCGACCACAGTGTTGAGCCTGGCTTTTCAGGGCCACCAGGCTAAGGGGAAGTGGATCTGTTGGTCCAAGGGTAGAGTGGCCCCACCATTGGGTTCTTTCAGGGGAGGGGGCAGCCTTGTGGAGGCCCCAGCCCTAGGCCCTGTTTTCAGCGCCGTGGCCCATTTTCTAACACGCCCCCTCGAACCAGGGCCCAGGGAATTAACTGGTGCTACACTCCTCATGAGCTGCCCCACTTTCATGAAGGCCTCCATACCACCTCTGGTGCTGGGGGCTCCACACCCTCTCCCCTGCCTGGAGTTGCCCACGTGTCACCCCTGGTGGACTTGTCAGAGAAGGGGCACTGTCTGGGGTCCATGACTGAGGCCCTGTGCTCCTGAGGGGGTGCTGGGGATGAAGGAGGCTATGGAAGATGTGGAGTGAGGTGGGAGCATCTGGAGGACAAGGTGGGTACAGTTCCTGTGGGGTCCAAGGTTTGGAGCTTGGGCCAGAGAGGATTTAAGGGAGGAAGTGGGGGTGGGGTGGGGAGTTGGGGGTGGGAGGTAGACAGTGCTAGAGCTGGAGGGGAGGAAGAACCCTGAGACATCTGAGGGGTTCAAGCGAGCTGAAACGCGAAGGGTAGCAGATCCAGAGCATTGAGAATGTTCCCCAAGTAAACTCCTCCAGAGACCCCTGTGTTATGGTTGAGGTTCCAGACACCTCAAGTGAAATGCTTCCAGGAGTCTTTCTTTGTTCTAGATGAGCGTCTAAAACATTTCTTGTAGAAAAAGGTTTTGAATGCAACAGATAAAATGTCTAGGAAGATATGCTGTCTGGGTTCAATTATAGATGAGGTTCTAGCGCATTTAGCAGAGGAACTGTTCTAGAGAGACCGTCTTAGTTCTGGATTAAGTTCTAGAACACTTAGCTGATAAACTATCCTAGGGAGTCACTGATCTGGGTTCTGTGGTGAGGGTGAGTGCCCTGGAGCCCTGCTGCTGTGCTCTGGGGAATTCTAGCTCCTGCCATGGTGGTGGAGGAGGGGCCTCTGGAACCCCATGTGAGTGGAACATTGTAGGAGTAGATACTCCAGTTCTAGACTTCCGGGGTTCATAGGAGTTCTGTGCTCCTGTCCGCCTTGGTCCATAGCCATCTTCCGAAGAGGACATTGTCCTCAGGAACCCCTGGTACATTTCAACTACCAGCTGGTTTCCAGCCAGAAAAAATGAGCTCTAGGGACTTGACATAAATCTTGGCTCTCAGCCACCCTGCAGAAGTGGCTCTCTTGGGCGGCAGCTGGAAAACTGCTTTGTTTTGCCCAATCCTTGAGACTTGAGGTCTGGTCCCATGTCCCAGATATCCCATGGTGCCCATGAGATATTTCATCCTGGGCCTCTCCTCTCCACCTGGGTAGGGCGGGGAGTGTAGGAGTAGGCAGTCTGTGGGGTGAGGGACAAAGCCTCTAGGCAGAGCTTGGAACCCCCCATCATGTCCCCACTCCCCCAGGCAAACTAAGGTGAGTTCACTGCAAGGACGCAGCAGGTGATGTTAAGGCAAGATGCAGGCTTGGGCTCGGGGTGAGGTGGACCGTGAGAAGCCTAGACTATGCACATTAGAGGAGCACTTAACCCTCCCTGGTTCAGCCTCCCTGGGGTTACAGAAGGGAAACTGAGGCCCAGAGTGGCAGCTAGTCTCACAAGGTCCCGGACTCCTGCTGTTCCATCACAGAGTGATGGGTGATAGTGAGTTTGCTGAGGATGAAGGGAGCCACACTCGGGGTGCAGGGTGACCCCAAAAGCAGAGAGGACAGGACCATCCACATAAACACACACACATAAGCACACATCAAACCTGTGACACAAGCCACCTCACCCCCTGGCACACCAGCCGAGATGGTGTGTGCATTCCTCCCACCAACACATGTAGAATGCTCTTCCCTCTTTCTTCTCCGTCCCCAATCTCCGAGAAAGCTCAGGAACCAGGCCGGAAGCCTGCGGCTGACCCAGCCTCCCTCTGGTTCGTTCACCCATCCTCCTTGATCTTCAAAATCAGTCTTGGAGACCGAATTTCACGGCCAGGTACACACATGCCGGAGCCCTTTGTGAGGGGGGCGCGCTGAGGATGCGGGCCCAGATCCTCTTGACTGTTTCTCCAGGGCTGACCGTGCCAGTTTTCACCCCATCTTGTTTCACTTAAACCTTCCCTGGCTTGCAACTTCCCTAAAAAAATAAGTGTTATCAACCCATCTGACAGAGGAGGAAACTGAGGCTCTGAGATGTGACATGAGGGTCACGCTTGGCAAGTTATTTTACTCCCCAGGGTCCCAGAATGGCTCATCTGGCATCCATTCTCCAGCATCCTAAAAGGAAAAGTTAAAAAGTAACCTCTCTAGGAGCTGGGAGTCCTTACGGCTCCATGAGAGACCCAGAGAAGAGGGAATAAGACCGAGCCGGCAGTGCTGAGGCAAGGCTTGAGGCTCTCGGGGAAGCCATGGCCACAGTTTGGGACCTTATTCCATCCCCACCCCCCTCATCTCAATCCCACGAAACCTTCCCTCTGAACCTCTGCCTGCAAGACATCTGACCAGCAGAAATGGCCCTCAGAGAGGGCTGCAGGCACCTCCTCCTGCTTCTCATCCTCAGGAAAAAAGCTTAGCCCCTTAAGGACTCCCCCACCCTCACCCCCAGAAACTCAGGGCCCATCCCTCCAGGCCTGAGGTCCCTCTCCACCAGCCTGTCCACCTTATCTGGTCCTTGCCAGTCCTCTGTTTCAGAGCGCCTCCGTGGAGAAGAGCATCATCCCATTCCAGTTGTTTTGTTTTTGTTTCTGTGACAATCTACCTCAGCCAGGCTCTTCCCCACCAGAATTGGATCCCCTGAATCCCCGACTCCTGCTCCCCATTTCCTGCCCTCCACCCAAGCCTAGTTGTTCAGTCCTCTCCCAGAAACCCTACAGGGTCCTTACAGTGAGAGCAGGTTCCAGAACCACAGCCCAGTGGAGTCCTCATGATGAGCCATCTGCCCTCCACATCCATGTAAAGGAGAAATGGAGGCTCAGAGAGGGTTGGGGACTTGCACAAGATCACACAGGAAGTCAATAGCAGAGTAAGGCTTTTCCTAGAACTGAGACAAAATTGGGTCTGTCTTTTTTTTTTTTTTTAATTGATTTCAGAGAGGAAGGGAGAGGAGAGATAAAAACATCAATGTTGAGAGAGAATCATCCATCTGCTGCCTCCTGCGCGCCCCCTAGTGGGGATTGAGCCCACAACCCAGCATGTGCCCTTGACCGGAATCAAACGTGGGACTCTTCAGGCCGACACTCTATCCACTGACCCAAACCGGCTAGGGCGGGTCTGTCTTAATTTTTCCAGGAATAGAAGAGAACCGGATGCTCTGGGTACCCTATATGCCAGGCCCTGCCCTGCCCTGCCCTGCCCTCAATATCTTCATCCCCAAGAGACCAGTGTCCCCATGTCCAGGACAGACTTCTGTCTCCTAGTTTTCTTAAACGGGCCCCTCAGGCTACTACTGACTGTGCTCCCCAAACCTCTCCAGGCACCACGCACTCCTCATCACACCTCACCTCCATGCACTGATGTTCCATGTGCCTTTTAATTGCCATCCCGGGCAAACAGCACAGGCCGCCACCCCTCCATGCCAGGGACTCCCAACAACAGTCTCTTTTGGTCCCCTCCTCTCATCTGCCTCATCCCCAAAACCTGCCTTTCCCCTAGCCAGCTCCCTGCTAAACTCGTGTCCCACAGGAGTATGTCATCCTTGAGAACTAGAGAAAGCAGAGAGGAGGGAAGGCAAGGCTGGGGAAGGTCTGGGTCTCAGGGCGAATTTCAAGGGGACTGAGAGCATCCAAGGAAGATCTTGCCTGGCAGCCCCCGTGGCCTCCCAAGAACCAAAGTTCTGAAGGTCCTTTCCGTGGAGCTCACCTGGGCTTGGAGTGGGCAGAAGCCTCAGGCAGTGGGAGAAGGTTTTCGGGAGTAGGGCCCATGGGTTGCAAATTCATGGTAATGAAAATGATAACATGGTGGTGCTAGACCATAGGGAGTGGTGAGGACTCTGGCAAACAGGAGAGTGCGTACCCCGCCTATAGGTACGAAAATTCAAATATTTGAAAAATCCTGTGCTGGCCAAACTCAACACTCATGTTTGGGCCATTGGGTCACCAGTTTGAAATCTCTGGTTCAAAATGAGAACATTCTGGGGAGCCCTACAGCTCCTGGATACCCCTCTGGGGAAGTTAAGGACAGAGGCCCTGGCTTCTTCTGAGACTTTTCTAGTCCAACCCTCAACTTTCACCACCTGCCACCTAAGAGTTGGCCCCACTGATAGGGGAGGGAGGTCAGGGCGTCCCAGGGCCCCTGAGTTAGGAACCACCATCTGCTAAGGGCTAGAGACCCCTCCGGTGCCTGAGGAGTTAGTTTGGGATCTTCTCTAGTGTGGGGGCCCCTGGTTAGGAAGAACCTGCATTGGGTGGGAGGACAGTCCAGGCTCAGGACAAGGACTGAAAGCCAGAACCCAACTGCCCCATCCAGTGCTGGCCCCTGCCACCCGTCGACACCTGCCTCCCTCCCAGGTAAAGCTGGAGATCGGGCCTGCAGGGAGAGGAGCTATCCATTTCCGTACTGATGTGCTTTGTGATTTCTCAATGAAAGGGACTGAGTGCCAAGCCATGTGGGGATGGGGCCTGAGTACCCCCTTCCCAACCAGAGGGGCTTCTGGGACCCTGGGGCTGGAGGGAAAAGGAATGGTATGTGCCATTCTGTTCGGGGAGGAGCTAGGGCATTCCCAGGTTCTTGGATGCTTCCGGTAGAGGCAAGGGGAGGGAGAGCAAGAAATTGTGGAAGTGGGAGAGGAAGGCTCCGTCTGGGATGGCCTGGTTCCTGGAAGCAGAAAACTCCCCAGGGAGGGAGAGATGGTCCTCTCCTGCCTGGCCACCTCCACCCTTTCCTTCTCACTGCAAGGA